GTTGATAAATGGAAACATCGGCACATGTAGCAGATATTTCCTTTGCAACATCTCAACCAACAATTGGTCCAGTTATGAACACTATTTTGAAGTTTTGAACAATCTTGACTTTCAAGATCTACATATCTACATGTGCCAATGTTTCCGTTTATCAACGTTATATTTTAAGACCTGTGCAAGAAATCAACTAACAGATGTTTCCGCATATAAAAGCTATCTTCAAGTTTTGTACACCAAAAAAAACTTTTCAAGAATAATCTTTGTAGTTTTGAAGAGCACTAATTTAGTACACATACAACTTTATGGAGTCTTCTAGGAATAATAAATTTAAGCTAATTTTGGCCTTCTTAGTTAGACCTCTGTTTAAGACAGACTGAAGATAAGAATGTCAAATATTCCCAAAGTATTACTGTTGATTTCTAAATACTGGGATGGTCAGACAAATCACCAAGTTATGTGCATATTTTTAATATATCTCAAAGTAAAAACAGCTGACTAAAATATTCTACCAGTATAATTCTAAGAGATTTCAGAATAATTGGTTGTAAGAAAACGATTTTGAAAATGGCTGTTGTGACATTAAAAAAAATTATCTTGAGGAGCTTCAAAACATAATTCTTCCCTCACTCTAAGTGTGTTCAGATTTGTTGTTCAAATCAAGCAATGATGGGTATTACAGATATATAACATTATTAACAAAGTATCTTCTGTGATTCTGAAACAAACAGAAGTCTTTTGTTTTTATTAACTGAAGTTAGGTTTAGCAGTAACTAAAGCAAATTCTTAATGTTATAAGTTATGACAGCATTGAATACATTTTAAGACAGTGTAGTAAAACATGCATTACCTGAAGTTGAAATATATTCAAGGTTTTAAAAAAAATATTACAATAAATTATTCAAGACTCAAACTTTTATAATAATTTAAAGCATTTTTACACTTGGCTTTAATAACAGTTTATTATTTGTGAAGTAAAGGTAAAATATTAGCAAATAAAAGAGACATTAAATTTTTGCAGCTTAATACTGTAAGAATTTAAATTTATAGTAGTCTACTTGCCATAGAATTTTAAATCAGAATGAGCCTTAGACACTACATACCTAAATTAGTTAAGAATATTTATTATTATCTCAAACATTAAACGTTTTTGTGGTATATTTTAAATATTTTCTATTGACTCACTAAAATTAGAAACGTTTAACTGAGAGGAATTTTAGATAATAAAAAACAGGTGACAACAAAAACTTGAAAATTTCCATCGATTCCTCTTATTAATATTTATAATACTTTAATATCTAAATATAAAAAAATACTCTAGAACTGCCAAAAATTCACAATACTTTTAATTCATTGTTAATTTAACTTCAAAAAAGAAAACCATGTAATACACTTACCCTCTAGACTCTCCACTCCATCCATTTGTGTAAGCAACTGATTTACTACACGATCTGTTACTCCAGTACTATCATGCCCTCTTCTACAGACATAAAAAAAACATTTACGTATAATTTTATAATTACATTATTGCAGGAGATGAGCAATCTATTTTTCTTCAATTGCACATTTTGTTTTTTAAAACATAAAAATTCTTAACTATTTCTTAAGACTAAAACTTTGGGAAATAACAGCTACCTGTATTACTATCAAATTTTAAATAAACAGCAAAATCTGAAAAAAATATTAGATTTTGATATGGTAGAAATTTTGTTTTCAGACATAAAAATTTTGAGGTATTTAAATATCACTGTCAAATGGGAAGAAAAAAACTGGGTTAAACTATATTGTTTACAAAGAACTTTTGACTGAAATCTGTCTAACCTTAGGAAATAAATGATATAATACATTCAGATTTATCTACATAAAATGGATTTTAGTAAACTTCAGATGTGACAGCATTAATCAAAATGGGAAAAATAAAAATGTTGGAAAACTTAATTACGTTTACATCATCCAGTGTATTAATTGATGCCAGTTTTCTACAAGAATAATTATTGCAAGTAAGAGGTAACTTAAACTTCTATAAAATAAAGCTAACATTAGCAAACCAACTTCATGTTTTAATTGGTACTAATGTTTACTTTCCAACAACTTTTAATTTGTCTATTTCTGTAAAACATATATTTTTTACCTTGGGGCTATGGAATCAAATTCGTCAAAAAACAACACACACGGTTTTGCAGATTGTGCCCTAAATTTACAAAAAGTATCAGTGTCAATCAACTACTTTAAACAGTGTCAATATTCTATAAATAAGTATGATAATTCATTTCTGAAGACAGTTTCAAATGATACAAAATAAGTTTAAAAATCTGTCTACATGTTTAATTGATTGTTTAACATGTAAATATGTTTAAAATACCAATACTTACCACATATTTGCCAATTAGCCAAAAACAGTCATGTATAGATTTTTTGGATAACCTCTACTGTTGAAATATCCTTAAAAACATTCTTCTTGATAAAAGTATTTAAGAAAGTGCCTATTAACATGCAACTTTTTTCCATGAAAAACTGGCAGCTATTCACATTATTAATTTTTAATATTTGCAAATTTCTAAAAGCCTGGTTCTGCCCATACTTAACACCATTTTAGACTGTCTTTTTATATTAACCTAAAAATAATGGTTTCTTTCTTAAAAACAATGTAAAACTGAAACTTTGTATTGCTGTTAGATTCTTCAAGAAACTGCTTTCAATACTACTCTGCTATTAAAGTTTAAACATATGATTTAAATTTCATATAAAATTAAGAGTTCTACAAAGAAATGTCTTATTGCTGAATTCCATCATTAACAAAATCATGTGGCTCTTTCAATCCATGAGTAATTTATTTCACTTTGTATTGGGACTACTCTTAGTGTAAAGTTCTATAATACTGAAAGTCAAAATTAAAGATGAACTATAAATTTAAACATGCTAGCTTTTTTATGCAAAGGGTTTGATAAAAAATATATAATAATAATAATAAAAACAATAATTCTAGATTCCAAAAAAAAAGAAAACCACAGAAAGTATGAAATCTGACAAACTTGTTAAACACTGTCCTGATGGCTTGCTCACTTGCTCCTATGTACTTGGACAACAGCTCAGGTCCCTAAACAGAACATTTAATAAATAAAATTTTATTTCACTTCCTTTTTTCCCCCCTACAATCTTACACCTATCATTACTGTTGTCTCCACAACTCCTGATCAATAATGGTCACTTTTTCAAGTTTCATTCATAACCTGATGATGACCTCAGGAGATTGAAACATTGATACTTGTTTTGTGTTTTTTAAATAAAAATTGTTAATACTCATATCTGTTGTCTCTAACATGTATTATGTTAACTCAAAATAATCAAAGAATTTCTACCAATCTAGAAAATTCTAACAGGCAATTAGTTGCAAGTAATATTCTTGTTGTAAATATTTAATCTATCATATGGTAGTTAACATTAAGGAATAATTAGTATAGATATAAAAGTGTTCCTTGGTGTTGGTTCAATTTGGGTTTAAGTTCTTGTATTAGAAGAACTTCTTTAATTTTGTATTTGTTTACTATGGTTTCTTTACTTAATATGTTAATGTTTTCTATGGTTTTACTGTGGTTATTTGAGAAACAATGTTCAAAACCAAAGTGCTTAATAATTGTCACTTTTTCAAATTCCATTCCTAACCTGATGATGACCTAAGGAGGCTGAAGCATTGTTAATTGTTTTTAAAATAAAACTTTTTAATACCCATATCAGCCATCTCTACTATATATATATATATATATATATATATACTAC